CCGAATCACCCTCTATGACACTTTATTGCCTTTTGAATGGTGAGAAGCATTAGCTCAAGTCCTTTTCTTTCCAGAAGCTCGTATCCAAGTTCTGATCACTTTCATGTTATTTTCTTTTTATGGACTTGACTGAACTGGTCCATTTTCTTGCCCAAAGATCATCATACAAATTATAAAGAAATCATACTAATTCTTTGATATTTAGATGTTATGAACCTGAAACCTCAAGTAATATGTGTTTAGGTTTCAGTACATCCTCAGCCACCCATTCCCCCCACTGGCCTCACCACGCTTACCACCATTTCAAAACTGTTTTCTTCAGAAAACTGGAATTCTATGCTTCTGCTGAATGACTGAGACAGAGAAATCCTAAGAGCAGCAGTTAACTTGAGCCTAGGCAGATTCCATGTTTTTCACCATAGCCAATGTTGTCTCTGCATCTAACTGCTGAGACCATAGTTATAAACACTGGAACAAGGAAGAGCCTTATCAATTTGACCTATTGTAGGGACAGATACCCAGCGCCTGCTTCTCATAGGCTTTTTCCATTCTCTCTTCTAGATTTGAAACAATATTTGCAAGTAATGTTGGACAAAGATTGCTGTTTGGTTGGTTCCCTGTGAAATTAGCCAGGATTTGAAGATTGATGGAGTGTTTAGGGTGATAAAGTTTCTTGGAAATGTTTTATGATGAAGGAATACAGAATTGTGGTGGGAGAAAATACTTACACTGCTTGTAGTAATCCTTCAAGAATACCCATAGAGGGGCTGGAGCAATAGCGCAGCGAGTAGGGTGTTTGCCTTGCACGCAGTCAACCTGCGTTCAGTTCCCAGCATCCCATGTGGTTCCCCAAGCACCACCAGGAGTAATTCCTGAGTGCATGGGCCAGGAGTAACCCATGTGCATCGCCGGGCGTGACCCAAAAGAAAAAAAAGAATACCTATATATTAGGATTCCAACCATAAAAATAACAGGACATCTCAATCTAACCCCCAGATGGTTTAACAACTTTATTTTACAATACCTCCTCATATTATCCCAGAGTGCTCCTTCTCACTTTTATTCTGGGTTGTGATGAAGTTGGAATATAGAACACTTCGGATTGTTTTACCAGGAAGACATATGGATGGCTCACAGGCTTACGAAAAAGTGTTCATCATTCATAATTATAGAAATACAAATAAAATAACAATGATATTTCATCTCACATCTGTGAGAATGACATATATCAAAAAATCTGGAAAATATCTGGTATTGTCAGGGTTGTGGTGAGAAAGGAGCCCTCATCAAGGATTGGTGGGATGGTTGTCTGGTTCAGCCTCTATGGAAAGCATTATGGAGATTTAACAAAAAAATAGGACTAGAACTCCCATATGATCCAACAATGCCACTTCTTGGCATCTATCTTCCAAACACAAAAACACCAATTTGAAAAGATATATGCACACCTATGTTCATTGTTTGAACATATTACAATAGACAAGGTATGAAACCAACCCAAAGGCCTAACCGGGTTAAGAAAATGTGGTATAAATACACATTAGAATCCAATGCAGCTATAAGAAAGAACAAAATCATGCAACTTACAGCAGCATAGATCAAATTAGAGTATATCATGAAGTCAGAAGAAAGGAACAGATACAGAATGAACTCCTTCATATGTTGGACTTAAAACAGCAAAGTAGCAACAAAGGTGCAAAGGCAACATAATGGGAGAATTGATCCACACAATTGAACTGTGGGGGAGGAGGCTAGAGGGAATGATTTTGAAGTCCTTGGGGGAGTAAAATGGCTACATTGCTATTGGCATGGTATTGAAATTATGTCCATGACAAACCATAAATAGTATTATAAACCATAGAATCAAATAAGCATTTTAAAAATAAAAAATAAAATAAAGAAAAATCTGGAGTGTTCTAGGACCCAGAAACCCAATCTATTTCAGAGACATCTTAGTTACTAAAGCGGACATTTTTTTAACTTACTTTGTGAAAAGCCTGAATGAAAAGGGGAGAGCTTAATTAGCAGATTTACATGACTAGCCACTCCCAGCTTGTATCCCATCTGGAAACCTCACAAAACTAAAGAATTTATGTGAATACAGTAATAGTATCTTTTTATCATCACCTTCAAATGCCTCTTTTCTTGTCTCTCCTCTCTTAGCCTTGTCATTCATTTCACAGTCACTTGGAGGTTCCTCCACCTTAATTCAGCCTTTACTTATCAAATGAGTGGTAACTCTTGCGGTATCAATGTAGTGTGCTAGTGGGTAGGAGTGTTGGAAGACATGCTAAACTTTCAGGCCTAGGCAGGGAAAATGTCCACTGATTGCCTCCTTGCTGGAACAGAACATATCACCCAATTCATTGCATCATAATATGGAGCACCCTGCTGAGGCCCTCAGGAATCTGGCAATTTTTTACAATGCTGCTTAGGCCGTGCTCTTCTTTCAGTGGTATTATTAACTCTCTGACTGTATTAAGCTACTTGGCCTTTACTCATAAAATAGTCATTTTAGATACTATGTTCTTCACCGGAGTCAAATGATAATTCACAGAGGCTTTGGGAAACCACTATTTCTTTCTCTGAGGTAGCTGTCGCTTTCTATAAAAATGGATATGGGGTAGGTTGGTAATCTTACTGGCCAAACAAAGATTGTATGTGACAAGCCCTAGTACAGAGTAGGTCAATAAATTTTTGCTGAGGAGTCCTTTCGACTTCCTTACTGGCTGACTTTTGTGAATTCCTTTCTGTAAAAAAGGGAAGAATTTAAAATCAGTCTTATCCCCAAAAGGATTGGAGACAGCATTTGGATTATTGAGACTGTCCCAATGATTTAACACTTTTCTCTTGAAAACATCTGTAAGTAGAGATGAACTTCTGAGAGACATATTGGAAAAATGTTCTGGATTTGCAGGGAAAGGTCATGGGATCCTGTCTAGGACCTTTCATTTCCTATTCCTATGGCTATATACAGAAAAAAACATATTTTTCTTATGCATATATTTACATCTTGTGTACTTTTGGAGGTGATATTAACAAAGATGACTCCATCAGGGGCAGCAAACATACCTTTTGATTTTTTTTCAGCCCCTGCTCTGTCAAGCTTCCTGAAACATAGAAGACTCTTTGTAGTCTGCTAAATAAATGCTTTTACTGATTGCATGGAAAAGTCAGCAAGTCCCTGGGACTTGTCAGATTGTCAGTTGCTTGTTTACCCAAGCCACAGTGTTTTACCTAGCACACAGCTGGATGCTGGTTAAGACAGGCAGCAGAGTTTATTTGCATTCTTCACAGAAACGTAGTGTTTTTAAATTCTTGCAAAACATATGGATTTTTAAGGGACTTAAAGAAAAGACTGGCAGCAGAGAAAAAATACCCAGATCACATAGCAGCTCCAAGCACTGCAAGGTTAGGTAAGGCAACCTTCCTTGGTGCTTGCTCTTAGGGGACTTATTTCAAGAAGTTCTACAAATAAATATGGCAAGATGTGAGAGTGGCCCAGGGCATTTGGGGGGCATCTTACATGTTTTCTGTTTGTTTTGGGTGTTTCTTTGTTTGCTTGTACCTGCAATGAATGAGAATGACTTCCATATCTCCAGATTTGCTACAGCATGAAGTAGATGGTTCAGAAGTCCCTTGATTAAAATGTATGTGTTAAGACACTGATTTTCTTGGTACAGTGAAATAATAAAGTATTAAATTATGAAGAAGGGAAAGAAATTGATGCCAGATAACAGTACACTATGGATCACCTTCTCAGGTAATTCTATAAATTTCACTTGCCAGAAGAGAGTCAGAATGCTATTTCTTCCTCCACTGTCTTGTGGACACACACGCATATATACATACACATTTAAATGTTAGTCCTAACACACACCTTTTGGAGTGGGGTGACTCAGACTACACTTGGCAGTGTTCAGGGCTTATTCCTTGTTCTATGCTTGGGGAACACTGTTGACAGTGTTGGGGGCAGGATATGTAGTGTCAGGATAAAACTGAAATCAGCAGGGTGAAAGGTAATATACCTCGAGATACTACATCTTAACCCCTGTACTATCTCTCCCTTCCACACTTAAAAAATGTGCATCCTAACACAGGCATGCATGTGCATTTTTAAATGATTTGTTAGTACTAATAAACCACAATTTCTGTTAGAAGTGCCAGGTTATATTCAGGATGCCACAAACTTTTCTCTGTCTCATCCATAAAACTCTGCCATTTGAGAGATTTTAAAAATTTATTCCATGGTTATTTACTATATTCATTAAAATCAGATATAACTGCCACCCTTGAGGCTCTGCCCTGGTTACTTTTTCCATCCATTTATTCTAGCCACTTCCCTCTTAATATAACCTAAATGGCTTAGTGAAATATGTGTTTTTACCTTAATGTCTTCTGTCTTTATTTTCTCCCTATGTACTCCCTTCCTTATGTTTAATATTATTTTCAGGCCTCAGGTTGTCATCTCATGCAAGACTTTTCTGACTGTCACATCTTTGTACTTTTTGTATATTCCATAATGTCCTTTCTGCTACAAACAACCCTATCTCTCAAGCTCATTTAATTCTTTTCTACTTCCATTATAACCTATGATGTTTCCCTTCTCTTGGTCAATGTCTCCACTCTCAGTTAAGTATCAACAAAATATCTAATGTAAATATTTTCATGGTGTGTTTGAATATCCCTTTCAAGTATTCTGTGGTAATTTAAACATCTCTTTAGTCCTTTTTCTTGTTTTAACTCTCCCAAGAGAGATTACATGAAGGCTTTCTACATATTTATAACACTTCATTCTCATTCTCTATTACAGCATTTATCACACGGAAAATTTATATATTCATTTCTCCCATGTTATCTAGATAATTCTTTTGAATTGAGGGGTGTGTGATAGGTATTATCCCCAGAACCTGGATTTGTGCCTCAGCCATAACTAGTGGTTATTTATTGGTAAATTAGTTAAAAACATTATTTATTATTACCATTTTATTTTTTCTATATGCTTCAATAACTAATCCACATCACAGGAAATACATGTTCTTTACACAATAGCAGACAAAAGTTTTTCAGAAATGTTTGATATAAATCAAATATTTATAATATAATCAAATGTCTTTCCTTCTCTCACATATTCTGCTTAATTCAAACTTTCAATGTATAGACTATATTCTGTGACATAAGATATGTAGCAGATCACAAATTCTGATGTACATATTTAATTTCATAATGTTCACCACACTGTTATACTAAATTCCGTTACAAACAAAAATATCTTCTTAGATCAAATTTATACTGTTGTGACATTAATAGTGTACTAAAATTAATAAAGATTTACAGTAGCCAAAGAAAATGCTCTATTCCATTAGCACTGATCATAATTACCAAATACAATGCCCTTGATATACAACCCCCCCCACCCCGGACTTCCCAGTCATTTTCAACATAGGACTCATGATCTACTCCTTGGGTACCACAGATGCTCTTTCCAACCTCCCCTAAGGTTTTGACCCAGATTTCCCTAAGAGGTGGAGTAACCCCTAGCACCTGAATTGAGGATGGCTTCAACTTCTGCGTCATCATCCGAATCCCAGTCATAATTACATGGCCAGTCCCTGGAACACCGGTTACGAACTCTTGCCACAAAATGCATGACTTTCAGCTTGCTGGATTCCACGTGTGCTCTAGGTCCCCAGAAGAACTCATACTCCACGGGGCTGCTACGAGGCACTGGCTTATAAATCAGGTACCCTCTTCGCACAAACTCTTCTGTGACGACCTTCTTCGGATCTCCAAAGATGCTGTGCTGACGGCCAGGCTGCATCCCCAACTTCCCAAGCACTTTCCAGACCAGGGCCTCCTTGGCGCTGTTACCCATGATGAAGATCAGGGCCAATATGGACATCAGAAGACTCTTCTTGGTGCCTTGAAAATTGCTCCGGGCTACCGAGGGCTTTTGTGCTTGTGTAATGCTTGAGATCTCCAGGGTGCTGGGGGTTTCCTCTGGAGTGCCGGGGTCGTCTTCTGGGCTGCTCAGATCATCCTTAGGTGTGCTCGGGACCAGAGAGACAGTCGAAGGGATCTCAGAGATTTCTGAGGCCTGGATTTTGCGATTGTTGCGGTTCTCTTCTGCGGCCCTAGCATTACGGCGGCGCCTACTCTTCCGACCCCGCGGCATGCCTGCAGCTAGAAAGGTAGAGCCTGCAGCAATCAGAGAGAAGGATAACTCGAGCCTATGCAGAAAACAACTCTCTCTACCTTAAGAAAGTTTAGCCACTGAAGTCATCAACGTTAACAGTCTTTGCAGCAACAAAATAGATGTTCTTAAGGACAAATATCTCTCCCATGTAATCCGACAGCCCAAGCGGCAGGCACCCGTGAAAGCTTGGCAAAAATTGGCCCCGCCTCTCCTGCCACGCATTCACAAAACCACAAAAGGAAGTGGGCGTTTTTCCACCCAGACTTCCGTTGTCAGAGGTTGAAAGGGGCGGGTCCGGCAGGGGTGGGACTAGGGTAAGAATGACAGTCTGATTGGCAAAGGCAGGGAATGCAGACAGAAAATAAATCGCGAAGGAGTGCTGTATTTTTTTCAGTCCACTGAAGGCTGTGTGCCTATGAGTATGCGTGTGTGCCTGCATGTGTATGTGTTGAGAGAGGTAGAAAAACATCTGGTTTGATCTTCTATCCTGTCTTGTCTTACTTCATTTGTTCACTCCCTGGTTCTCACAGGAAATTATTGTGTACACCAGATAACTTGGTTATTACTAAAGTATGGATCAATGAAAGATGGGACTGCAAAATAGTGCAGTGTGCCAGAGGTGAAGAGCCTTTAAAATGTTATATATTGGAATAATTGAGGAGGGAACTATCTAGATCCGACTTGATTTTTCTACCTGTAACATTATTTTATTTTGCTATTTTATTTTTTATGTTTTATTGAGTTACGTGAATTACAGTTATTTATAAAATCTACTTGGATTTTTATTATTTTTGTTTTGTTTGTGGATCACATTTGTCTGTACTCAGGATTTACTCCTGGCTCTGCTCAGGGATCACTCTTGGTGGGGCTCAGGGAACCTTATGGGGTTCCAGAGGTTGAATCCAGGTCTGCTACATGCAAGGCAAGTGCCCCCCCCCCACCACCCCTCTCTCTTGTCTCCTAATTTGGGTTTCTATAGCTTCATAAAATGCAGACTATTGTCTAGCAGCTCAGTTTAGAAAGCAATTGGAATTGGAAGTAAGACTTTAGGAGCTTGCCATAGGAATGGAGAGGCATGGAATATAATGGTGATTTGATGAATTCCTGTTGACTTCAGGGTCGCTAGGCTCCAATCCACCTAGGCAGCCAATTTCTTTTGCTTCCTCCAATTGGGTAAAATGAAATTCAGAGGAAATTGAGTCTTATCTATTCTGGAATCTGCTTGTTTCCTGTGTCTGAAATATCTTTCTTCTCATTTCAACTAATTTTCATCTCCTTACAGTCTTCCTCCCTGACTTTTTTTTCCATTTGCCCAAAAGGGAAATGTGCCAATTTTAGCTTCGTTTGAAAGAGTTTAGAGCAAACATTCTTTAACTTTTTAATGTCACTGTCATGGTCCTCCTGCTGTTCATTGATTTGCTTGAGCGGGCCCAGTAACATCTCCATCATGAGACTTGTTGTTACTGTGTTTGGCATATCAAATACCTCATGGGGAACTTGCCAGGCTTTGCCGTGCGGGCGATATACTCTCGGTAGCTTGCGGGGCTCTTTGAGACAGGCGGAGGAATCGAACTTGGGTTGTCCATGTTGGCCGCTTGCAAAGCAAACGCCCTACCGCTGTGCTATCGCTCCAGCCCTTTAATGTCATATTTATTTATTATATCACACAAATTATTTCATCTCCAAATCTGTTTTGTCTATAATGCTGGGTTTAAGTACTAACCTCAGAAGGTTGTGAGAATTAAGTGAGATGAGAAGCGAAAAATACTTATCCCATGGGTAGCACAAAATTTTCCTCTCAGGTGTTTTAAGCAATATAAGAGAGGGGTATGAAATGAATATGAAAATATTTTGTTTGTGACTGCTCTTACCTGAAATTTTATACTTGTTTGACTGAAATAGAATAAATGTTTGTTTGAAAGACCCTCAATTTATAATCTTACTGTGGGAAGTGGCCCTATCTTTACCCTATCTAATAGCACTTGGTAAGGTGTGAAATAGGATATAAACACACTTAATGAAAAATTTTAGAATGGGTTAGTATGTCTTATTCTTTAAGCAGACTTGTCAGGTAAATTGCACTTAACATCTCCCAATAGTCTGTACATGTGTAGGAATGGAATGGTTGGTATAGAGGAAGAAGTATTTAGCACAGTTTGGAACATCAATATAGACCCAGTCCATATCACTTCTCACCCCTTTGACTCATAATTGACTTAAAACCATGTCCTCTGATTTGTCATCTAACAAAAGGATGCTTATTTCTTTGGTCTGGTCTGCCAGGGTTGCTGTGAGTCTCCCTGAAAGTACAATAGGCGTGCATCAGCTATACTGAATGAGAGAAAATTTCCCCTGTTCAATTTTTTCTCTAATTTGTTTGCTTTGCTGTTTGCGAATATCTGTGCTTAAAGGAACATAAAATCATTTTCATTCTTTAAAATGGCTTCTCCAGGGCTGGAGCGATAGCACAGCAGGTAGGGCATTCGCCTTGTGTGCAGCTGACCCGGGTTCGATCCCCAGCATCCCATATGGTCCCCTGAGCACCTCCAGGAGTAATTCCTGAGTGCATGAACCAGGAGTAACCCCTGTGCAATGCCGGGTGTGACCCGAAAAGCAAAATAAATAAGTAAATAAATAATAAAATGGTTTCTCCATTCTGATGAAATTTAATGTGAATGCAATCTGGTAAACTGATTATCTTTCAAATGTTTTCTGTCTATCTGAAATTTCTTTAACCACGAGCCTACTAAATCCTCTATTAGTAAGGCCTACATATAAACCAATCTGAGATTGTGCATGTTTATTGTTAGATTGTCTTCTGCACAATAAGTAACTGAGAAGTGGGTTGGAATTTGATGTCATTCCTTTATTTGAATGAATTTTTGTTTCACTTGACAAAGGTATGGTGGTTCTGCATAGCAACCTGGATATACTAGAGGTTGTACATAAACAGAGTACAGTCTCAGGCTGTGGCTTCCAATAAGTTTTTTCAAGGGTAAATCAGAAAAAAGACTTAGGCTGTGAGCTATTCTCAGTGTTTCCAAAAGCTTAAAAGAAAACTTAAAGTTTATATAAAATGTACAAAGGAATTGTTAATACAAGGCATGGTGATAACAGGAATAAATTATAAAACCATACTTGGAGTAGTGGAGTAATAGCATACACAGAACAAGGATGACTTGCCTCTACTAGGAGTGAAAAAAGGAGAAGAAAATAACATTGTTATTTTATTTTAGAAAAATATTGGGGGAACTAGCATGATAGTACAGCAGACAGGGCACTTGCCTTGCAGCACAGCTAACCTGAATTTTATCTACGGCATCCCTTGAGCACCACCAAAGTTATTCCTGAGTGCAGAACTAGGAGTAACCCCTGAGCATTGCTGGTTTAAAATAATGAATTAATTAATTAAAAAATAAAAATTAAAAAATAATCACATGAATTATAAAGTTATTCATAATTGAGTTTCAGGTATAGTAACATTGTAATTTTAGACTATTTGAGTCAGATTAAGAGAAAGTTTTACAAAAATAAATTTAATACCAGTGACGTTAGAGAAAGGTTAATCCTTTTTGTGGGGAAGGTCTTTCAAGCAGTGCTCAGGAGAACTCCTGGGGACTCCTTCCTATGATTCTCAGCCAAAAGGGCTGGTGGCTCATTGTAAGGGCCCAAAGATGTGATACCGGTCATTGAATACTGCAATGCTAGTTATTACCAAGGTCTCTTTTTTTGTTACCAGTGCTTGAGGGACTCTGACTGGGCTGCATCTGGCAATGATCAGTAGATTATGTGATGAAGATCAAGCCAGGTAGAATTGCATATGAGACATGCATTATCTTTCCAGTTCAGAGAGGTTAGTTATTATTTTTTGTATTTAATTGTGGATAAATGTATAGGTGTTGACACTTTCTGTAGCTCTTCTCACTTAAAATTTAAAAGCGTGCCAAAAGAAACTTTAAATATTACTGTATTTCTGAGATTGAATATTTCTGCTTTCTTTGTGGGAGAGGGGTTTAGTGTCATTCCCTGCAGTTCTCCAGATTAATACCTCTATTTAGTACTTGTAGTTGCTCCTTGGTTGTACTGGAGGACTGTTTGGGTGGTGGGTGGTTATTGTTTTAATTTATTGTATAGTTAATTTCCAGCAAACAGTTGTGTCACTTGACATTTTGTAGCAGCCTTTATGGTTGCACCTGAAAGGCTATTTCTTTCCCAAGATCATAAAAATACTGGGGAATGTCAACATTTGGGTTCATAATCTTATAAGTTCTGGTTTCTTCCATGACATACCTCACAGCTGCTCCGATTGTGTGTGTTCTGTGATGCAAGGAGATTTAACATGGAAGTAAATGTGCAACTTTGGAATAGGAATAAAAGAGAAATAAATAGATAAGAAGTCTTGCACTGCTTTTTTAAATTATTCTTTTAGTATCCCAATTTTTTATTTAAATTTAAGAGAAGTTAATGGTTTAGGGCTTCTTGTGTTTACAAAGCAAAATTTCTAGTCAAGGTAGGATTTTGTAAATTTCACAGTGGAAATTGTAGTAAAATAAAACTTTATAGCACCAAACTAACAGTCTTTCAACGCAAATTAAGACCATATTTAACATCTTGGAAACACCTGACTATTAGTACATTTAGAACTTAGACAAAATGATTTCCTTTGGTAATTGTATCCCTAAACTCCATCTGACTTCTTTTTTGTTTGTTTGTTTGTTTTTGTTGGCTTTTTGGGTCACACCCAGCGATGCTCGGGGGTTAGTCCTGGCTCTGCACTCAGGAATCACTCCTGGCGGTGCTCAGGGGACCATAGGGGATGCTGGGGATCGAACTGAGGACGGCCACATACAAAGCAAACACACTCCACGCTGTGCTATCTCTCTGGCCCCCATCTGATTTCTTGTTTATATGTTTTAACCATCACAGTTTGAAGAAAACACAAAACCCAAACCCTAACAAAATGAATATTGGAGAACTACTGCTTGGAAATTTATTGAATCACTGTACTGTGTGGGATTTTGGGAGGGCTTTGTTCAGTTTTGATTTGGGGCACGGCAGTGCACAAGGCTTATTTCGGGCTCTGTGTTTGTTGTTAGGGGAGACTATAGGAGTGCCAGGATTAAACCTTTATCAGCCGCTTGCAAGGCAAGTTTCCTACTCACTGTACTATCTTTGGGG